TACAGGTTTTCTTCCTTTCAAAAGCATCCTTGGAAAAAGCCTGTCATATTCCAGGCAAATAAAAAAAAAAGGAAAAAAAAAAAAAAAAAAGGAGAAAGTTAAAATCTCAGGTGTGGAGCACCTAAAATATGCTAAGAATGCTAAAGAAACCCCCTTGTCAGCTCTGTCTAGCTATCAATTTTTAGTCATCAAAAGCAGATATGTAGATTCTTATTTCAAAACTAGTTTAAAAAAAAGGGACCAAAAAGGGACCAAAGCTAATTTAAACCAATTAGAAAATCGCCACGCTAACAGGCATATATACCATATGTGACCGCAAAACACTTTCCCTCTTCATAGCACCCATATCCTTTCCAATATACGGGCTGGATAATGCTCAGAAAATGAAGCGGCTACGAAACACCTGCTGCCTTCCTCATTGTGCTGCCCCATCTCTTGTTCATCATTCAGATGCTGCACTGAATTTCTCAGCGTCTTCTCACTCAAATTTTCCCTACTCTGATGTTCAATACTGTGACGTTGAACTCTACTAAATACTTCCCTATCAAGGGTTACAGAGGTGGGGAGGGAAATAGGAAGTATTTAAAGAAACCCAGAGAACAGAACAACGTGAAAATTGAGGCCAGAAGCTCCTACTCCTGGAATGCCAAACAGATGGTGAAGTCTCACTTTTGAAAATGCTTGGCATTTACCTGCTGACTTAGTCCTAGCAAGTGAAATGCCTTTCCCCATTTCATTAAAACAAGCAAACAAACCACAGATCAGCAAAGTACAAGGCCACACCATGAGTGGTAGCTTAAAACGAACAAAGAAACAAACAAACAAAAACCTACCAAACAAAAAAAAACCACCACCATAATCATGCAACCAACAGAACTGGTAGTCAAGGCCTGCTGATTTCCAGTTACTATGCATCTAGTAGTAATGCAATGTGAACAGAAGTGATAAGCACTACTGTCCTTAAATATTTCAGGAATTACCGGGAACACTTAGCTTGCTGGGAAGAATGGGAGGGAAAAAAGGATTACTCAAAGTATTAAGCTGACTTAGAATGTATGTCTAAGTCCGGAATTGAGGGATTTTCATATACAACACTATGTGGCAGAAGCAGGACTGTAATCCATTTTCTGAGGGCAGCATGTAGATGGTGACACTCTATTTTCACAGGTGTTTGCTCATGCAAATTTAGTTTTCCTGTAGCAGAGAATCCTTATGTTCTCGTCTTCTCATTCCTTATGTGATTAAGATGAATAATGTTGCCAATTTTAATTCTGACATCTTCTAAATCCAAATATTTGAAGCTGAGCTTAAACTTTGCCATACTTCTTGCAGGTAGGTTTATTACATCCACTAAGTGAAGAAATATTCAACCACCCTCCACAGCGAAGAACAGGCTATCAACCAAATTTAACCACACGGTCACTTACTAAGGGCTAGAAAATGCGTTCCCATCAAAATTTTTAAACATTATTCTCCATGAGCTCAATAGCAAAGGCAGACTTCATGAGCAGTACATTATCTTGTGTATGAATTTATCAGTTTAATTTTTGGCAGCAGTAATCAAGATGTTTAAAATAAGTTTTGGAAGGCTGACTCAAATGATTGCAAATAGGAGAGTCACCTATACATTTTGGCAACAACACAACAGCCTTCTTTCAAAGGAAATTAATGTCTAGAACAACGAAAAGAAAGCCACGCGGGGAGTGGCATCACCCAAGCTGTAACAGGAAGCAATACAGGTACCACTTGCCAGCACTATGCTCTTCCTCAGCCAGTGCTTTTACTTCTTCTTTCATGAGTGCTACATTCACTCAACTATAAAAACATACCTGAGTATTGAATGTTATTTTATTGACCCCTGGTTCCAGTGTTAAGTTGTTACATTTCAACACATGAGCCCCATCTTCTAAAGTCACTCCTGAGGGCATATCCAGCGAACTGCTGCTCTCTTGCCTTCGTATTCCTGCTGTGTTCAAAGAGTTATCCGAGGGACTCCGTTCGTACATTTCGTATAGCTCCAGTGCTGGCAAGTTGTTTCTTGACAAAGGAAAGCCCGTAACTTCATTTGGAAAGCTGATAACACCATTGGAAGTTTTGTGCTTAGTGAGCCACTCAGCTGTTTTTCTGTAACTATTTTTTTCAATGCTGAAGTGAACATGGATGGCAATCTGATCCACCTGGACAGGAATGGGCATTTGGCTCAGCAAAGTCAACTCAATAGACAACTTTCCACCCACATGGACAACAGCATTTGCAGGGTCAAAATGTAGAGTTTTCAACTGCGCAAAGGAATGCATAGGCAGTATAACCTTTTGACCTGGAAAGATAAAAAGAGGGATTTTATTCTCCAGTGCTGCTGGAGATCAGCAAATCTTTTCTCTTAAAAATTAACCCCTAGAATTAAACGGATCAGCTACTTCTCACAATGAATCCTTTCAAAACAAATCACTACTTTCATATTTGAGTTTTATCTTGCATAGAAATGAGACTTAAAGATGCCAAGATTTGTTTTCTAACAGTTACATCTACTACAATTTTAGTACTCAGGCTATTAAAGACAACTAAACTAAGAGATAGCGTCTAAGCAGAAGTTTAACATTTCACTACTACATTAAGTGTTCTAGATGAACACAGTAGCATAAAGTGACAAACTTCCCAGAGCGCATAAATTAAGAGCAAGTACAGGTTCAAGAAACTGATGATTCGACTGGTGCCTTGAGCCATCAGCTTTACCGTACAAGGGTTTTTCGTTCTCTTTCTAGATTCCAAAAACCAACACTGAAGCAGTACCAAAACTGAATTAAGAAGCAAGTCTAAAATAACATATTACTTATGGTACATCCATTCATCGCGAAAAACTTCTGCATAAAATTGAACAGTCTTCACATCTACAGGAAGTACTCTGTACGAAATTGAATTGTGATTAGTATCTGAGGACAAGGTATGACTGAAGCAGGAGGAAGAATAAAGAGAAGAGGTAGGATGGTCAAAATAATAAACTGCACGTGGATGGGAACAGATCTAACATCAAAACCAAAGAAGTATCATCACAAAGCTGCCATCTGCATGCCAGCAACGTACAGACAAAGATAAGTTAGGAATTAAAAAAAAACCCAACACAAGATAAATTATGAGCTGTCAAAGCAGAGAAACAGAGAAGTGAAGGAAAACAAAGACTTTCCGGTATTCAGGATGAAAATGTTAATTACCCTTTCATCTTTGACTATTCTTAATTATTGCAGAAATTTTATAAATGTTCTGGAGATGACAAGAAAAGAACCATGCTGGTTCAGAAGTTATACACAAGGTAATAAAAACAATCAGAAAAAGCCTTCCAATCTACTTTTAGGGAAAAATCAGCCTAAGTTTTAAGTATTTAAGAACCAGACTTACCTTGGTTCTCTGCTTGCTGATTGGCAAAATCTAGTATTTCTTGGCAAAAGCTTTTGCGTTCATCTTCTGTTAAGTGATTATCACCAGCTAAAAGGCTGCTTGTTTGAAGATAACTAACAAAGTTAAGGAAACATGAGGTAGAAACCTACAGCATTCAGAAATTTGACGGAAAATGAGACAGTACAAGTACTGCTTTTCTAATCTTTTAGCACAAGACCTGCTTTTATCATCACCACACTCTTCCATTAGAAAAGAAACAATGCAAGATTTACTATCATCTGAGAATACTGCAGAATCTCTACTTCTTGCAGACCTACTAAAATATGATCCATGATTAACCTATGCAATCTTCCCCTATCTAAAAAGATCAGTGAGCACAGAAAATTCATTCTTTGACAACAGATAAACGCAGCATGCAAGTTAAAGCCCAGTGTGTTGCATTACACTGCCCAACATTTTGAACTAAATAACTTGAGTATTTGATTATATTGCAATTTACTTGGCTGAGAATCTGCCAGCTGTTACAGCATCACTTACCATAACTAAGTCACACGACATTCTTTATACTTGTGAGTGCTGGTGATACAAAATGCTCATTTAAGTATTTAGCTAAGACTGCAATATTACTGGCTTTGATTCTTTTAACAGCATTTGCACTGAAGCAGAAAAATTTAAGAGCATTGAAAAGTGATGTAAGAATTTTCAAAGGAGGCAGCCATTTACAATGTCTAAGTCTAGTTCTAAAAAAAACCAAACAAAAAACAACAAAAAGAACAAAACCCAGAGTACACTACAAACTTGAATTTAGCTCAACTGATTTTTCAGCTACATTAAGACTCCTAGTACTGGCACTTGGAGACTAAAATACGAGCTTCTTAGGCAAAGAAAAAAAAACCAAAACAAAAAAACCCCAACAACTTTAAAAAAGCTAGGACGACGATTGAAAAAAAAAAAAAAAAAAAAGCTGTCTTTCCTTGCAATTGCCACAGGAATTGTCCTGCAGAAAGTACTCTGTTCAGCTACACCCCCAGTCTGGAACACCTAGAGGCATTCCATTTATAAAACTATGGCACCAATGAAAGCAGTACCCTTCCCCCAAACCACCAAAAAATAACGAATATTTGCCATTTTGCTATAGTACATATCCTGCACACAGCACAACAGTTCAGATTAGAACCAAGTTACTTAATTTAGCTACCAAATTTAGTCAACAACATATGAGGCTAAAATGAAAAGCAGAATTCAAACTGTGCTGTTTCTAACAGCAAGGACAGTCAGTAGGCTTTTCCCCACACACCCCCCTCTTATCTTGAAAGTAGCAACAGTAGAGCAACACAGACAGATTTAATATTTAAACAAATACAGCTGTAGCGGATAGAGTTGTGTGTGTGAAAATAATGCAGAGAATATCAAAGTGAAGAATTTGAAGCCTATCAAACATTAGGATTGGGCCAGATCATTCTCTCAAAGTATTACTTAGCATTTATGTGGCATTTACAGAGAAGATTTCATTCACACGTTGAAGACTGAGCTTTTACACAACTTAAACAACTCCCACTCCCCTTCTGAAGCAGAGATCAAAGCCAGAAATAAAAACTAAATAATAGCAAAAAATATTAAAACGCCACACCCCACATCATAGCCACAAGATTTTCATCTTCCAAGCCTCTGTTTTAACTTTTGGAAAAAGTCACCATTACAAATACCAGAAGAGTCCTTGCCAGGTCAGATACACGAAAAAGGTGGTAGCAGTTATAGAAAGAAAACCCAGAAATTAAGCTCCTCAATATAGGAAGACACTATAATGCCATATTTACCAAATGAAAAAACAGTACCACATAAAAACTTGCATAATGCAGTACAAACAGAATCATAAAAATCCTCTATAGCATCTGCTGAACTAATGACAAACTTCACACTACGTTGCACTACTCTAGAGCCTCAACATATTTAAAAAGGAGAGCAGCAACCATATTCAAAACGTGAAGTGAACCAGATGTCAAAAAAATAAAAATGAAAAAATAAATAACCCAATCCTCCCCAAATGAACAGCAACAATGGAAACAAGAAATAACCCAGTTGTCTGATATTTGACAGCCCCTACTGTTAAATAAAAGTTAGGGATATGTCAGAAAAATAATCCGAAGTATCATTTTTCTCCAATCTTGATTTTTCTGGCTCTGCCTTTTAGAGGATACTTTTCTATTTGCCCAAGGTGTTTCTGACATTCAGCTAACTGTTTTCTCGTATGTGTGACGAGCAGCGCCCAGCCCTCAGCAAGGTAAGTTTTCAGTGCTCCTTGAAGATAGACTTCTGCCTTCTGTGGACCTTTCTTCCTCCTTTAAAAATAAAGAAATGAGTACAGAGTGATATAAGAACATTTGCAGCCACAAAAACTCTTTACACATTTTCAAGAAGTGGTGATGAGAGAGGAACATTGCATATGAATGCAGAACAAGATGCAGCGAACAATTATGCTCTGTATTTTGCTGGTAACAGATCAACATATTGGCCTACCTTTACGTGATTCACTTAAGCAAGCAGAACTGCAATTAGTGTAAATCCACCATGTCACTGAAAGGCTTCATATACAGATCTATCCCAAGTCAGAGCAAGTGAGGTCAAGCTACCTCGCACAAATGCGACAAAAGCCATCTCAAGCTTCTGACAGTTAACTAAAAATACGCTTACTCTGCAATTTTAAAGCAGGAAAATGCTTCAGTGAAAACATCATTTTATCACTACACAGCAGTTCCATGGTAGTCTTTAAACCTAACATTATTCCCTCAGGTGAAAATTTAAGTTAATTTAGGAGAATCTGTTGCAGCTATAAGATCAGACTGCTTTAGTGAACACAGGTAAGCAGCATGCCAATACATGTTTTCCCAAAAAAACCACTTAGGACTCCCAAATTCTTCTAAATAAGAAAAATAAAATAAAGCAGAAAATCAATGCAGGAGGTTCCTTTAGTTGGAATTTAGCAGCAGGGATAAACACAAAAATATATTTGGAAATTAGGAATAAAATCACTGGAAGTTTCACAGTGGAGGAAACAAATATTTTGCAATCATAACCTCTAATATGAAACTGATTACTCTCCAAAGAACATGGTTTCTGGCTTTTCTTAGGTATACATATATGTATATGTAGTTAACTATAAACTTTGAAACAAGTCAGAAGCCACATTACAAAGCAGGCTATAGTAGGTGCAGTTACCTCTTTCCTCCCCCCGCCCCATTGGCCTTTTCTCCCGTAGGAGAAGAAAGGATCAAGCCAAAGAACATAGGACAGTTAAAGGTAAGAGTACTAAATCACGAGGTGAGAATTAGGGTTTGATATAAAGAGACTGATGGTGTTCTTTTTCTTTTTTTTTTTTTCTGAAATACAGCCTGAAACTTGGGGTATGTTTACATTTAAAAAAATAATTTTAAAAATTCCTTTTTAAATACAAGCATATTTTCCTCAAGGATTATATTCAAACTTTTCAAAGCTAATGCATTTAAGACATTTTAAATATTCATTTACATATAAAACTCTGCCAAGTCCTTTCCCACAAGCTTAGCTGAGCGAATTCTTCCAATATTTGTGTACATTTCAATGGTGGCATGCGACAGATCCTGTTTGAAAGAAAAGAAACTATTATAAGCTTTATGTATTTTTAGTAGCTATATGGTATTTCACACAAACTCCTAGCCAGTAACTAAGTTACTATAACAAAATGACCAGAATGAGTCACTTTTTAGATTTCCCCTTGCCCCCAGCATGCAATATAGAGTGGTTTGTAACAGGTCATCTTCCCTTTTTCTACAGTTGGTCATTATCCCATAACTGTGTTAAAAACAGCAGAAGAAAAAAGCCTATTAAAAATTAGATAAGGCAACTCAAAACCACCAAAATACTAGATGAGATGCAGTTACAAGCATTTCTTTACAGTTGAATCCCCCTGTCTTTTTTTGAAAGCAGCTATTTCTCAGTGACTATAGGCCATTAGATCATCATTGCAGGATTGTGTAGATCATCTTGCAGATCATCATTGCAAGATACACCACAGCATAACATATTTAGAACAATACTAGAGCTTGCCCCAGAGACCCACAACTAATACTTCAAAACCAAATCAACTACATACAGAATGCGGTACATGATTCTTTCACTCAAGCTGCATGTAACACGATTAAGTATATGAAAGTCTGCAGTATGTAAATATACAATTAAACGCAAAATGCTAAGTTACAATTGGAATAAGTATTTTTGCAAGAGTGCCTTAAAGGAATTTTGCTTGAAGCTATGCAATCCCAAATTGAAGTTTCTCAGTCATCTTTAAGCTTAATTTCCAATGCAGCCACACTTGCCCTAAGCTTGTAATAACAGCAGCAATTCTTTCTCACAAAATTAGCAGTTACAACACACACCGTATACCACCACCAAACTTTTTTCTCAAGTATATAATAATCTCTGGCCAGATACATAAAAACATTTCACATCATATTTACAAACCTGCAGCCTCTTCTGACTGTCAACAGCCTTCCATAGAAGCTCCTTCTCCTTCACTTAGTGTATTAAGACATAATCTGTCCTTCAAGACAAATTGCTTAAGAGCTTCCAACTGCCTAAATATTCTGCAGAGGATCTGTCAGAAAGTATCTATTCCTATGGGGCAGAAAAATTACCTAGAACGAGCTCCCAAAGCCTTTCTTAGGCTATTTTTGATGTGTCTTATGGAGAGCCTAGAAAAATCACTTCTTCATTTAAGAACTCACAACAATATCCTACAATAAACTAAGTGATCACTCCTTAACAGATCAGTATAATCAGAGAGGTCTTAGACACCAGCTACACATACAAATTAAAAGCTCCATTCCCCCAAAATTAAGGTACAAGCCAACATGCTTGTAGAAGATTTGACAGTCTTAGAAAAGATTCGGAAGTTGTTGCATGAGAGCAGCCATTGAATGAGAACAAAGCCTTTTCTGGTAATGAAAGTTCATCACTTCTTGCTTTCAACATGTCTGAAAAGCTGCATTTTACTTTGCAGACTCATTAAAATTTTAAATGCAAATAAATTATCTTAGCTGTGTCTGGAAATTTTAACTAATTCTCTGCTCTTCTCCACTGAATACATGGATAAAATATGGGTATATATAAATTGCATATATTTATGTGACAACTACATAGAAAATCTTTTCTAGTGTATCTGATATCTGAATTTCTGTTGCATAAAAGTGCAGTCAGAAATACAAACAGGCATGGCAATATTTTCATTGGCAAACTCTGCAGATCCCACTTAGTTTCTTAAATTTAGGAAGATACTGCTGAATTTAGCCAAGATCTTCAGGTGCAACTTGGAACTGAATATATTAGAGCAGCTAGCAACTCTGAAGATTTTAGTTTTGGTCCAGCTATCCAACCAGTCTTATAAAAAAAATGAAGTATAAAAATGAAACCCGGTATCTTCAGACGAAATCTTTTGAGACTTTTTCTTTCAATAAAACTTTGTCAAAATAAGTACCGCCTAGTTTTCAGATTTAAAAAAAAAAAAAACAAAAAACAAAAAACAATTGCTCAGTGGGGGGGGGGGAACCCAAAACCCAAACACACTATTGTGACAGTCAGACAGTTGAAACAGTTTGTTTCATTTAACAATCTTCTATTAAAAAAAAAACCCAGAATATCATTACAACGGCTCCTCAATAAGGGAGCTGTCAGCATACTAAAGCACAATGAGAATTCTAATGTTTCAATCTATGCCAGCTCCAACCCTATTATCCAAAGATGTCCCACATTTTATATAAAAAAATTCAACAGTATAACTTAAACCATGTAACACCCATTGCAAGACGCAAGTCTAAACCGTTCAAAAGGAAGCTGAATTCACACATCAATATTCTTCTGGGGAAGGTTCAATTAATTCTGATTTTGGGATAGCAGAGTATGATAGCCATGACATTGGCTTTTTTAATAACTAAGTATATGTACTTACAGATAATAACTTCCAACTCATAACTGTAAATATTAAAGTTAATCTAAATATATGAAACTCAGGGCCCATACAGGGTTCCAGTTGTAACACAAATAAGCCTTGTTGTGTTCAGTGTGTAAGCAGTAACCTTGGATACCAAAATACAGAAATACAGATTTATGTTCTCAGTCTTCTCAGGTTTGAAAATTTTGGCCCTATTCAATCTATAATGTAAACACACAACACTAATATAAATAACGAAAACTCATACTTACTAAGTAGTGTTTTTCAAAAGCTTCTACAGATGATAAGGCCTCTTTAAGTTTCTTATAAGGGCTCTGCGATGCATTGGCTTTAGAAAAAAGCAGAACAAGAGATGCCACTTACATTCCTGTTTTAACAACACACCCCGCCCCGCTTTTTCTTTCAGTAGAAAGTGAAGAGGAAACTTAAAACTAATTTTATGTGGGAAACGTCACTAACATTTAAAGACACATTATGAGTTTCTTCCCCAGGCTCTAAAAACAAGATCAAGAAAGTCTGTTTCACAACTCTCTGTGTGTGCATGCACATGTGAGTGATGTTCAGGGTAGCAGGGTAAAGGCAAGTAGCAATATAGTAACTCTACTGACTTCTCCACACAGTATTTCATAACATTTATTCAACCCAGAAACACACACAATTGTACTTAAATACCATATTGTGCCAAGAGTAATATTCTCACAACTCCCCACCGCTGGATTTATAAATCAGCATGACAGAATTATACTGTAATTTAAAGACATTTTACTACTTTAAACAACGTACTTCAAAGGAAAATGGTTAGCAAGACCAAGTTTTTTTCTGAAATAGCTTGCTCAATTTATAAGTCTTTGCCACACCAAATATGTGTCAGTATTTCTACAAGAAAAATGTCCCCGTTTTAAACAAATAAAACAGGCACCATAGCACTGAATTAAGAATTGTACATCATCATACCTACAAGAGCAAGTGAAGCGCCAGCCTGTCAGCTAATGCTTCAAAGATACCAGTTTTTCTAGTATATTTAACATCTGAAAGCTTCTTCCTGGCAGAAATATCTTTGCAAGTGATAAAATCCACAAGGAGTAAATAAATTTGATTGTTCAGTCACTCAAATAATATCACTTCAACTCAAATAATATCATTTTGTAGCTCCAGTTGCAGGTTATCTATTTGCATCAGATCAAGGATGCTCCATTTCTTTTTCAAGTAATTTTATTTTTATTACTTGTCTGGAAGTACTAAAAACTTTATTCAAAACCAGTATTGTTCAAGACTATTTACCAAAATGCTGGTGAATGAAGCATTAATGGAAAAAAAACCACTTATATTTGCAACAGAAAGGAGATGCATTGATAATTTAAACTACTAGACACACATTAAAAGAACTCGTAAGAGGTAACAGAGTTCTATCGATGTTTATATATATGTAGGCATACTTGGAAATTATTATTACTGATGTATTTGTACGCTATGTATTTAAGACCATGTCAGTTATTAGAAAGAATGCGTACATTCCTGGTAATACCTGTTTCAGGGCGTTCCGCTCCCAACCCTGCTAACAGATCGACAGTTCTGTTAAGGTCTTCTGAATTGGGTCCCTTCTCTGACACAAGTCCACACAGATAACCCAGAGATTTTAACTATAAGAGAAACCAGATGCTTGTTTTCAATAGGCTACAAAATCAATATAAAACTCCTTTTATTCAATTACATCATTCCTACAAGACATTTCCACTGCTGTCGTATTATACTTCTTATAACATCCATATTAAAGTGGCTTCATGGGAAGAAAGTAGAGAACCTTTCAAAAGTAACTGTTATTCTCACAGTAGAAATTAATTTTTTTAAGAACTAAATTGCATAGAAGTTACTGACTCAAATAACATTGGAACACATGCATAACACCTAATCAGAACAAATCCTTCTGTTTTTCCATATAAACATGGACAAAGCTTGAGATGTTTGGCAGTTATCGCCAAAGATCATTTCTAATAACTCTGTCTGTATTTTTGAAAACTATATCATCAAAAATGCAGGCAGTTTCCAGTACGCTGATTAGACAAGCTTGCAAATTCACCCTAAGTATAGTATTCAGGCGAAAACCTTCTTGAAAAAGAGATGATCAGCATAGCTAACTACCATAAAATCCCTTCTAGACAGCAGCTGGTACGCTTGATACCCGGAAGTCAACAGACAGGATACTGTCTTAAAGAAGTTCAGTTCTGGGAGTCATTTAGTTAATTCATTTAGAATGACTCAATCAACTACCAAGGTAAGCCTGCAAAAGAAAAAAGGCCTCAGCTTGGCATATTACTCTACACCATATAAAATGGGGATGGCCATTAACTCTTTTTTTTTTTTTAATTCCACTTATTTTTGTCACTAGTTTCTAAATGTCTTTCATTCAGTCTGTTCCACCTTACTGCTACTCATTATCCTACAATTTTTCCCTTTACCCTTTGTCTTAAAAGAGCTATGAATGGCAGGAACATTTCCAACTCAGTTACATACCTTCCATAAAAACATGTAAAGAGCATGGGAAGAATCTGATCCACCCATCACCACTTTAACCAAAGAATTGTTTCCATTATTCTGCTCTCCTCCCACCCTTTTTTTTAAAAAGGAACTCTTCAAGGTGAAATTGTCTTTCTATGCTCTTGCAATAAGACAAGGACCTCCTAGGGTCAGTTAACGGATTCCTAAGTCTACTGAAATATGAACAAACTATGATTAAAATAAATAGAAAATACTCTGCAGGTTACGCAAACAAGAGGATGAGCTTATGATGGTCTTCAAAAACATCCATGGAGATCACAGTACGCTATTTCAGTAGTTTCTGGAGTTTGTCATCTTTAGCAACCTTAGACACCAACTCTTTCATAGAAATGGAATAAGTGGAACTTGAAAAGGCATTCACGTAAATAGGGAAGGGGCTTAACCAAACCGAAAAGGCCACTTTACAACTTTTATTTATGGTAAGGGGTGGTCGCTGAAAAATTGCAAATTATTACTTATTTGCCTCTTTCACAAGCCGCCAAGGCTAACACCTTCAGTGAAGTTAGGGGTCTATTCCTACCATACTAATATACTGAAGAAATAATGAACTATGTAAACAGATTGCTCTAATCTCTATTTATAATGGTAAATGCATCCAAATCTGGGCAGCTTCTCCTGCCGTAACTGAAATTCATGCTCCTTCTGTCCATCAAGATGGACTGAGTTCGTTCTGGAGTTTAATCAGCCAGTTATCAAACTGGGAGGGCAGGGTGGGGGGCGGGCAGATAACGAGGTAAAAACACCCTAGTTATTCCCAGGCCTCATCTGACAGTGGGAAAAGTGGATATAAACTTGGATGTCTCATCTAGACTAGACTCGAGACAACATACAGAACCCCATGTTAAATTCCACAATAAAAAGTGCAAAATCTGTTCCACAGAAACAAATGGTCTCCTTCAAAACTGTAATACCACAACCGCAACACATCATTTGCTTACCTTCTCAGTGGCATAGCTCCATAAGCCAACTGTGTGGGAAACATTTGCGTCTATTTGAGCCCTATCACAGCAGCCTTCTATTCTCTGTAAGACTTCCAAACAACTCAAAAATACCCAACAATCCAAAGCTCCAGGAGGAACAGAGACCTGAAGATGAACAGATAAAATTAACTGGGAAATAAACATTAGTCAGATGACAAAATACTTAAGCAAAATACTTTTCTTGATAAAATGTAGCAGAGCCTCTTGGAAGAGCTTACTCTAAGAATACACAAAAAACAGGCCAACTCTCACTACCCTCCTGAATGATTTATATATATTAGTTCATGAAACAAAGACAGCTAAGCAACTAAATAGCGATTATATTAACTAGATTTGATATATTCACCAAGATGAAAGAGAAGGAAAAGAGGACTAATAGGTACCAGTACTTCAAAAAATTCCAAAAATTTGGAAACTAAGCCTAAGGAAAGCAGAGTTAGGAAAAATTTCTGTAAGTATACTACTACTTTCCTAAGGAGACATCAGATCTAACTAAGACTGAAATTTAAAGTATGCTAAGAAGTAGATTAAAAAAAAAAATGAAAAAAAAGAAATTAGTCTAAATTTCCTTCACAACAGTAAAGTTCGTTAATCAAAGGATAAGGTATGTGTCACAGACAACTAATTAAAGAATGGAGATGAAAACAAATAAATAAACAAAAAACCCACAGAGAAAGAAAAAAGGAAAAAGACCAAGAAGGGTTTATCAGTCAGCAAATGGAGAAAGACAGGAGAGTTTGATACTAGAATATTTCAAGAATCAAGATAAAGATGAGCATAACTAAAGATCTGGAATATAATCACAATAATGGTGTCTCAAAATCCTGTTCATAAACAATGCAAAAATATACCTTTTAGAAAGACTATGAAAGGCTTGAAACCCATAATAAACTACATAATTGCCTAATGTGATAGGAAAGTTCAACATGCAAGCACAATGCATTTGAATAAAAAATAAAGATCTAAATTCTGAAAGAATTTTCAGGAAGAGGAAGATCATAAGAACAGAGTAGTTTAGAGTTCTGCTGTGTGTTCAGTGGTGTCAAGCCACATTAAGAGGTTTGCCTGTACTAAGAAAAACGATCACAACAGGGATAACTACAGCATATGCACAAATAAGTGTCACTGTCTCACAGCCCGAACACACGCATTCAGTTTGGATCACCACATCACAACAGAAACAGCAGAAATAAGAGTGAAGAGAAGAGCCCCAAATGCTGGAGGCACAGGACAGACTTGGGATGGAGCAAAAGGGGAACTGCGGGAAGTACCTCCAGAGATTTAGAAGGTTGCATGTATTTATTTTGGAAAGAAAAAAAACAACCACAAAACACACACACAAAACATACTACCTATAGGAATTACATGTCACTTTTAGAATACATGAAGGTGTAGGCAATGCATCCGAAGCAGATTTTCTGTTTTTAAATGCAGATGAACAGATGGAATGCATGGAACTTACTACAATGTCAGACAGGCAAAAGTTAGCAGCTACTGTTATAATAGCAGAGATAAAACTAAGAGAGAACCAGACACCCACGAGATTAAGGACACGGATGAGTCACAAGGTGAAATCCAGAATTATTCTCATGGGCACTATGCTGTTCTTGAAGATGTATTTCAACTCATAAACATCTGTGGTCATACATGGAGGATGATCAGTGTACAACATCCCTGATAAAGCCTCTTTAGGGAATTAAAAAACACCAGCAGAAGCTAAAGTATGGAGGGAGGAGGAGTAAAGCATGGATGCATGCAACATGACAAAAAGCTTTGAGCGCTGTCACTTGTTTCTCGCTCTTTCTTCTGTCATTGGATGAGATAGCCAGACACATGCATAACACAGAAGAGCTTTACTGGGCACCAAAAGGAATCACAAAGTAAGAACCACAAAAGGCGATCAAAGCAGCATCCAACTTGCATGGCAGTAAGAAGCCCTACTGTAGACACTGTTTCTAGTTCAAAACTGCTTTTTGTTACAGACTATTAGCTTGCATATCAACATATTAAGCACTCTGCCTTATTTTCTTCAATACAACACTGTTATAGATTTAAATGATGGGAACTATAGTTCAAGAGACTGGTAATAAATCCAGGAAAGCAGCAGACAAATTACCTACCAGCTTAAGAAGTTAACTTTCCAGGTGAAGACTAGAATACTTTAACTAAATACAGGTTTGGTTCTCAGATGTGATGTCTCCAAATTTCTTTCCAAGACATCCTCGTGATGAAACATTCAACTGTAGCACTGTTACAATCTGTTATTACGGCATCATTTTGATAACTCACAGCCAGTGCTTACTGTATTCTGGTCACCGACATCTGAACTTCAAAAATCTTGTTAGATCATCATTGGATAAAATCATTTACATAATGGAATATATTACACTGACTCACTTCTAATAGCTTGAGTTCTTGTACACAGTTGTGAAGAAGCTCCAATGCTCGCTGGGAAACCTCCCATGGCCTCTGCAGGAAGATTAATAACGTGCACTGGCGAGAAAATAGGTAACTACGCAAGTCCAGTAGAGTAGCTTCTTGATTCTGAATTAGCTCTCTCTTCTCCATGTCTATTGGTTTCCGGAGAATTAAACCATTCCAGCTCCTCACTGGCTGGCAAAAAAATGTCAGCCAGTTTGCACCATCTAAGTAAATAAAGTTAATATCCAAGAATTAACCACTGCTTTCTATCAAAGCCTCTTCTTCCTCCCTCCAGAGGTTGACAGCTGTCTTGTTCTTTCTAAAGTTTATCATATGGATAAGTGACTTAATACCTTAACTTCAAAAACGAAACAAAAAACCCAGAACTTCCACAGCTAAGTAGATAACTGAATTTCAGAACATTCAAACCCCATAGGCATTTTGTCTTAATTGCATATTTGTTATTAGAATAGTGGCAATCAGTTTGTAAGGTATTTCTTAGCAGTTAAGCCTACCTGAAGTTCAAAACAAACAAGCTTTATCTACTTAAGTATTTCTTACTCAGCCATCATCGACAGGTGTGCCCCCACTTTCGGATATAGCATCAGGTTCAGTCAGGACACGTATTTCCCTGCAATTACTCCTGCACTATATTTTTACCAGATTCATAACACATACCTGATTAAAGCTGTTATATAACATACGCTTAGCTCATTAAAATAGTTTAAAGTTATTTGATACTTCTTGCACAGTAATTTTTCTTATAGAGAAAGTTAAATCTTCTGTAGTGCAGATTAAGCACATATTTCTATTCAGTTTTGTAGCGATTACCAAACGTCTCATGTAATTTGAAGCAAAACTGAACACATTTCTCCAGGAAGCTCTTTATTGAATAACTTAGCAGTGAGCTGTGAAAACAGCAACTGTATCTCAGCCAGATCGATACTTATGTAATTACAGAGTTCCAGGGCTCCACTTGTAACGATCATCGACTAAGAGCAAAACGCAGGTTTTCATTAAAAATTGCTTCTAAGCCTCAGAGATGAAAAACAAAACTTTAATAGACTATAACTGATGTACACTTGAGTCTGCATACAGCATAAAACAAGAGCATAAACTGCCTAGTGCATCTTCACTGCAATGTACCATCTTTTTCACCCATGTACACATATGGTACCCAAAGCACTGGGTTGTTTAGAAATTAATACACTTAACATTTATTTAACTTTTTAAGACACTTACCACCAGCCCCAAAGTTGACAACGTATTGAGAAAACAAGGCATCTAGTTCATCATACTGCACTAGCGCGTCCTCAAATTGCTGCAGCATCTCAAAGACGAAGGCCAGTTCTTCCTTTTGACACACAAGCAATAAAGAAGCATGTTACTGATAGTAGTCATATCTGGTATTCCAGCCTGCCCCCATCCATACATAGAGCTCTGGGAACTTTTTCCTACATTCTTCCCCTTCCAGTATTCACATAGATAGGAAAACCTGTCATGGCAGCAGATGCACCATTTCTTCCTAACACAGGGAGGTTCACAAAAGTTGATTAAGTCATACAGCTATGCCAGTAAATTCTGTTGCATATCCAGATCCTGATTCACTACAAGATATTGCTCATACATCTGTTAGAAGTCCAAGTTTAAAAAAAAAAAAAAAAAAAAAAAATTGCTAAAGCCCCTTCCCCCATAATAGAAATTATTTTCCCCCTCTTTTTACACTG